GTTGGGAGGGCGTGGATGACCCAGGAGGTACCCAGATGGCAAAGCTCATGTCCCTCTGACACGCCCTAGTTCTCACGGCCAGCCCCTCTTCTTCTCCTTGGCTGGTGTAAGTAGCGGTTCCCAGCCTGTCTCCCTCAGCAGGCTGGTCTCTCTCCTTCCAGGCAAGGTGGACAGGAAGATGCTCAGGAGCCAGTCTAACTGAGCCAGTAACACATTCCACAGCAGCTTTTATTTCCCCATATCCATTTGTTGATGTTTTCCTCACCCTCATTACCCAAGAGGATTGATTATGCACAGAACTGTGATGTGTGTTCTATGATCTGCCTAGAGAATTATCTCAGTGTTGGCCAGAGCTTAGCACTCTCGCCTCAGGGGGCTCAGGCATGCATTCATCAGGACCCAGAACTCCTGGGTGTGCAGCAGGCTGGAGTCAGCACATTCTAGAAGCAGGGGCTAGCATGCCAGGTAGGGATGGAGGGGACAGCATAGCCCATCCCCCTGGGACTTGAGTCACCCTCTGCCTGAAGGCTTCTCCCACTGGCTTCTGCACTCCTGAGCCTCTGTGGGATCCTCATGCTCCTCGACCCGCGTCCTCTCCTTCCCGTTGAGTTTCCTCTCGAAAACCCCACAGCCCAGGCCCAGAAGGCCCTGGCCTCAGCTCAGGCCAGAGAGAGGAATCCTGGGTCCTAGCTATTTTCAGAGCTAAAATTGAAGCCCGTGGTTTATTTCCTCAGCATTTAATTAGACTCCAGAGCGGCCTCCTTCCTGCCCACGAGTGAAAGCCTGACCAATGGGTTTGGGAGCTGACGCCACGTCGCTGTGTCACAGTGGGGAGGTTGGGGCCTGGAGCATTTTTACAAACAGGAGGTTGCGGAGAACAAAACCGCTTGGCCCTCAGCCAGTTAGACTAAGTCGGTTGGGAGAGGGAGGGAGCAGGAAAGCGTTATATCATCCCCTCTTCTTTGAACTGCATCGTAAATCTGCGAGACAGGAAATGAGGATCTGGAGGGGAGGGGAGGAAAGGGGGTAGTGCCACAAGATGCTGGAGTGGCCTCGCCTGCCCTCGGAGCTTGGCTCAGAAGAGGCCCTGGGGAAGGGGAGGGACTCCCAGGGGGCTGGGGGAGGGGCAGTGAGGGATCCCATCGGTGCCTTGAACACTTCCTGGGTCAGGTAGGCAATGGGATGACTGTAGGTGCCTGAGGGTGATTTCTGGGCCCACTTCAGGTCCTCCAACTAAAACTACTTTCCCAGATAGTTTTTAGAGCTGGTACGGATTTGAGAGAACCTTTGATGAGGATGTTGAGGGCAAGGAAAGAAAAATAAATTAACTAAAGCCACACAGCTAATGAGACCTGGAAGTGGGGACAGGTGTCTTCTGACTCGTTTCTGTCCGCTAGGTCCCCTTCTTAATGCTGTTCCTTGGCTTTCATGGGGACACGAGCCTTTCAATCCAGAGTGAAGGTAAGGTGTCAAATGCAAATGCACTTAGGTGAAATGACACATTCATTCAGTTCACATTAAGAGCTAAGTAATTGATTACCGAGGAGAGATTTTGATGAGCAGAGGTGCCAAGCTCCATGGAGGAGCACTTCTGACCACCAGGGTGGGGAGTCATCATCTGTTCGTGATCAATTTAAGGCCCTCCCAACCTTGGTGTTTCTGAAGGGGAGAGGTGGGAGGGAATGGAGACCTGTAATGTCTCTGAAATACAACCAGTTTCCTCCCAGGGAGGAGTGAAAACAAGAAACTTGGCTGATGAGCACCCATATTAATAAATTTTGTAACATTTCTCTGAAAAGATGTAGATACCAGCCTTAGGAGCACCATTACTGTTGGACTAAACTATGGTCACCCATGAACTCAAGGAAGATCCTATGTTTTCCAACCTTCCTTCCCTTCCCACAGCACTCCTGAGGCTGCCTCTCAAATGAGGAATTCAACAGATGAGAATAGTGTAAGTCCTTCCTGCACACTACAGGACCCTAAATTAAATAGGAGCCATAGCCAACATTTATTTATTTACTTATTTTTTTGCCAACTGCTTCCCTAGTATTACCTCATGTCATCTTGATAACTATTATTATCATCATCCTCATTTCACAGTGGGGATGTTGAAGCTCAGAGAGGTAAAATAATTTGCCCAAGGTCACCCAGGAAGCAGTTAAGGCCAAGATTTGACCCAAGGCTACTTATTCTATGGCCTATGTTTCAACTACCCTAGACTGCTTCCACTGGCAGAAACAAAATGTTCTGGAGTATAGAGGGAACTAAATAGAATTTTATCCAATAGCAAGAATGAGGCTCACGCTGTTCATTGCCTTGGCTAGAAAATACAGAAGGGTGAGGAGTAGCAGGCCCTGTAGAGTGGCTGAGAGCTGAAGTTAGACTGAGATTGCCATGGTCTATGCTCTGTGTCTGGTATTTGGTGTACATTTCTGCTTTGCTAGGCAAATAGCCTGAATATCCCCTTCACTTCTCTTTGCTGGGGTCTGAGGCCATTAATACCATATAACCTCCATTCCATTCTTGTTTCATGTCTGTCTCACCCAACTCATTTCCATGACCTAACCCTGAAATTATTTGGTATCTGAATGCAAACAAAGCTGATTCTTGATACACAGGAACAGTTGACTTAAGCTCTTAGTTGTTTCCTCTTCTCCTTCCATTACTTCTTCTCTGCTACTTACTTTAGACATTTCATTACCCCAACCAGAAAGCACACAAGTGGAAGGAAAGAATGCTCATGATTAGTGTTTTGCTGTCAACTAACTTTGTTAGTAGTTTCCACTAGAAAAAGATGTGAACGAAAAATACTGCAAACCTTATCAGTAAACAAAGAATACTGAAACCATCAAGTCTTCAGCGGCTGTCGCCGCCCCCCAGTGAAGACAAGCCTGCAGCCCAGCCTCTGCAGCCACTCACAAAGGTGCTCTCTGAGAGGAATCAAAATAAGAAAGGACAGGATACTGGCCCTAGATAGCTAGGTGCTTGTCAAAGGAATAAATTCAATGAGCCCAAATGTTTGCTTCCTCCCATACATAGAAAAGCACTAAATTCTTTAACTTGAGATGCCTGGTTTTCTTTAGTTAACAAGTAACCTTTTAATGGTCCAACTACCTAGTCTTTGTTGTAAAGCTTCTATATATCCTAGCTCCTCTCCTATCTCTTGGGAACAGTCCCACAGAGTGATCTGAGAGGCTGTCATCCCAGCTCAAGGCCTCCTGCCAAATAAAACATAACTCTCAACTTTTAGGCTGTGCATTTATTTCAGTCAGCAAAGACTAATGTGGAAGTAGTTTGAGGCTTGGAGAGTACCTTTTTGCCTGTGCGTTCCCTATAATCTGATGGCCTAAATAATATCTAAACTTTTTTCTTAGTTGGGCCTTGGCTGTGTTTGTTGAATTGTATGTCATCTTTCACCCATGACCCACCCTTGGTCAAATTCTGTGATTGAGGAATATGGACAGTACTAGATTTTCACTGTCTCCCATTTAATGATTTAATGCATGTAAGGTCCTAGGACGTTTCTTGGTCCAGAGTAAACACTCAATAATCATTGGTTATTATTGTTAATAATAATTATGTTTGAAAAATAATACTTAGTATCCAAGACATCAATTATTTTTGTTATCCTGAGTTTTTTTCATAATAGCAGTTGGGATTGGGTTTTAAAGTAAAAGTTCTTTAAGGGCAGGAACCAAGGATGATAGAGCAGTACTAGGTATAAACTCCTTAGGGGGAGACTTTTGCTTCTAGACATGGTGGACTAGTTTGTAGCAAACCAATCCTCCATACAAGGGCAACTAGAAAAACCTAGATTAAAAAAAAAACAAACCGAGAAGTATCTATTTGGAAGCATTGGAGAGCTACAAAGACAGGGTCTAAGGTGGTAGAGAAAAAGGAAACACAGAGGGGTGAGTGACTTAATATACAGCTGCTTGTCCTGCGATGCATTTGCAGTTCTGAATAAGTATAGAGATGCCGAACACCTGAGCAGGGCTGAGGAGACAAAAATTGGGATTTAAGTCTTTACAAAAGGAGTGGTTCTAGTAAACATCCCAGTCTTTCAGCTGTAAATCTTGAATGTCTATACCCTGGTAGTAAAGCTAGCCTGAAAATAGACTAGTACCCAGAGACTGAAACTTAGATGGTGAATCAATTTAATCACCGATTAGATTAAAAAGATATTCTTCTAGCCACCTGCCTGCCAGAAACAAAGTAAATCCTCTTAAGAGGATGGTAACATAACCCAGAGTCTCAAATTATCACTAAAATTTTTCATTCACAGTATATGTACACACACACACAAAATACCCAGCATACCAGAAGATAGGAGCAGATAACTGAAAACCAACAGAAAAAAATGGTATAATTTAAACATAAATGTTGAATCTCTTTTTAAAAGAATCAAATGAAAATTCTAGGACTGAAAAGAACTCAATGGAAGGGTTTAAAACCAGATTATGCACAACTGAAGAGATGATTCATGAATGTGAATATAAGCCAGAAGAAAATATGCAGATGTCACTGCAATTACAAGATAAAAAGTTTGTGAAATACAGAAAAGAGCCTAGGGGATATATTGAACCCAGTGTAAACTTTGTATAATTAGAGTCCTGGAAGGAAAGGATGATGTAACATAAGGAAGAGTTGAAGAGAAAATAATCTGAGGATTTAAGAACTGACAAACATGAAGCTACAGATTCAGAAAGTGCTACAAACCCCAAGCAGACAAATACAAAGAAATTCACAACTACAGGCACATTATAGTAATACAGCCAAAGAAACAAAGAAAAAACTGTAAAAGCAGCTTGTGTTAAAATATAAATAAATAAAAATAAAACAAACTAAGAGATACAATAAGACAGCCAATTTTCAACGAAATCAATGGAAGCCAAAAAATGGTGAAATGACATCTTTAAAAGGCTAGAAGAAAATGACAGCCAAACTAAAATTCTATACCCAGAGAAGTTATTATTCAAAAATCAAAGTGAAGTGGGGAGGGTATAGCTCAGTGGTAGAGTACGTGCATGCTGAGCACCAGGTCCTAGGTTCAATCCCTAGTACTTCCATTAAAACAAACAAACAAACCTAGTTATCCACCCAAAAAATTTTAAAAAATAAATAAAAGTGAAATAAGGACATTTCCAGCCAAACAAAGACAGATGATTTATAGCTAGTTGACAGACACCAAGGGAAAAATAAACAATTTTTCAGGTAGAAGGAGAAGAATCCCGGATGGAGTCAAGAAGATGCAGAAAGGAATGAAGAGCACTGTAAAAAGTAAACATATGGGAAAATCTAGATTAAAATTGATTGTATAAAATAGTATCTTGATAAAGTTAGAATATATGTAGAATTAAAATACACAACAATACACGAAATATAAGAAGTAGGAAAAGGAGTTAAGGTATCCCAATGTCCTTAATGTTATCTATGAGTTGAAAAAAGTACTTCATTGGACTTTAGTAAGTCAAGGATGCATGTTGTAATCTTTAGTTCTAAATAACCAATAAAAGGATAATAAAAGAATCAATAACTAGTTAATAGAAGAGGGAAATAGAATAATTAAAAAATACTTGATTAATGCAAAAGGAGGTAAGGGGGAAAAACAGAACAATTAAAATAACTAGAAAACGAATAAAATGATTAGATTTAAACCCAAATATGTTAGTAAGTATATTAAATGTAAACAGATTAAGTACTTTAATTAAAGACAAAGATTATCAGACTGGATTAAAAATAAACATACCATTACACCCAAATATAAGCATACAGGAAAAATAAAAGTAAAAGAAAGAAAAAAAACTAAGTAAAAGAAAACTGGTATGACTATACTAATGCCAGTCAAAGGCAAGAAGCTTTACAAGAAATGAAGCACATTTCAAAAGGATAAAAATTTCATTCCATTTGGAAGATGTAACAATCTAAATTTCACCTAGTAGTACATCTTCAAATTTTACAAAGCAAAATTGACAAACCAGAACTAAAAGGAGAAATGGACAGATCCACAATTATAATGAGAGATTTTAATGCATCTTTTACTTCTCTCACTAACTTTTGAAACGAACAGTCAAAACAAAAGAAAATTACCCCACACGGATACAAAAGATTTGAACAACACAATTAACAAATGCAAATGTGACCCAATTACCAGATATAGAATACTTCACTCAATTGCAGAATATACTTTTAAGATTTTGAGTACACATAGTACATTTACCAAAATTGACTGTATGCTGGTCCATAAAACAAATCTCAGTAAATTTCAGAAAATTTAAATGATTTCTTTCTTTTTTTTCCCTACACAATATCTTTGTCAGGTTTTGATGTTAAGGTTACATTGCTGTCATAAAATGAATGGTAAGTGTTCTTTCCTTTTTTATTCTCTGGGAGAATTTATGGTTTTACAACCACAGTAAAATTCAGGTAGAAATTAGTAACAAATAATACTTAGAAAATCCCCACATTTTTAGAAATTAAGTGATACACTTCTAAACAATATGTGAATCAAAGAAAAAAGAGAAAATATTGTAATTAAATGATAATATAACCTATCAAAATATATGGGATTCAGTTAAAGTTGTGTTTGGAGGTTGGGGGCAGTAATTTATAGCATCAAAAGCGCATGTTAAAGAAGAAAGGTTGAAAATCAGCTATGTAAGTAAGAATCTGTCTCAAGAAATTAGCCGGGGGTGGGGGGCACTCAGCAAGTTAAACTCTAGAAAGTAGAACATAATAAAAATAAAAGCAAAAAGTTAATAGTAAACAAATGTGCAATGAAAGAATCAACCAAACCAAAAGTTAGTGCTACAAAAAGATCAATAATATTGATAAACCTCTGGCAAGAATAATCAAGGAAAAGAGAAAAAAACAAAGTATCAGTAAAGAAAAAGAGCATCTTACCACAGATCATACAGATACTTAAAGAGACAACAAGGATATGATGAGTATGTTTCTGCCAATAAATTTAAAAATATGAACTGGGTAAGTTCTTTGGAAAGACACTATACCAAAGGTGAGACAAGGAAAAATAGAAATCTAAATAGTCCTATAATTATTGAATCTATAATTTAAAACCTGCCCTTAAAACTCCAGATGACTTCATCAATGGATTCATCAAGTATTTAGGGAAGAAATAGCAGCAATCTTACATAAACCATGAACTGTCCCAGAAAATAAAGAGGAAATAGTTACTACCCTGTTTTATGGAGCCAGCTTAACCTTGACACCAAATCCTGATAAATACCAGGTATAAAGGTACTACAGAAAAGGAAAATTACCAACCAAACTCTCTAACAAACATAGATGCAAATATCCTATTCAAAATATTATCCTAAAATATCATAACCAATTTTAGTTTATTCCAAGAGTATAAGGGAAGTTTAACATTAAAAACTCAATTAATGCTGGCAGTAATCAAGGTTGACGTTACTGATAAGAGATACCATGTACCCCTGATGTGATGCACTGGGAAGAGCACATCATCTCTGTAGTATATTTCTCAAAAATGCAAAGCGTCAAAGTAAGAAACTGTCACAGATTAGAGCAGACTGAGGAGACATGACAACTAAATGCAATATGAGATCCTGGAACAGAAAAAAATTTGAAAAACTAGTAAAATCTGAATAAATTATATAGTATAGTTTAAAGTATTCCACTGGTGTTAATTATTTAAGTTTTGACAATGGTTCCCTGGTTATATAAAATGAGCATCAGAGGCAGCTAAGTGTAAGGTATATGGGAAATCTGTACTATTTCTATAACTCTTATGTAAGTCTGAAATTATTTCAAAAGGCTAAGATAATTCAATTACTGTAATTTACCACATGAACAGAATAAAGGGGGAAATCTTACCAATATCTTGATAGGTACAGAAAAAACATTTAAATAAAATTCAACACTCATTCACGATTTTTTAAAAATTCTTAGATAGAAACTAGAAACATAAGGAGCTTCCTTGATCCTGTGAAAGGTACCCATAGATAGCCCTATAACAAACTTCATAATCCCCCTAACTAGACAATGAGACAAAGAGGTCTGTTATCACATCTAGTCAACATTAGCCTGGAGGTTCACAGCTAATGCAATTAGGCAAGAAAAAAAAATGTATGATGATGAAAAAGGAAGAAATAAAACTGCCATTATTCATCAACATCATGGATAACATATAGAAATATATATGAATATGTGTATATATACATATTATTGATATATATATAACTAGAGAGAGAAGATCCAAAAGAACTTACAGGCTATATAAATTAGTAAATAAATTTAGCAAACTAGCTCAATGTAAGATCAATATAAAAATCAACTATATCTATATGCCAATAATAATCAGAAAATGAAAAATTTAAATGTTACAGCATTGTAATAACAGCATAAAAAACAATACATCCCTAGAAAAATAAATCCAATGGAAGATGTGCAACAACTTTGTCCAAAAAGAATAAGATGTCATGGAAATAAGTTAAAACCCAAATAATATTCAGGGAGTAGAATTCAGGTTGTACAGTTGCTCTGCCAAATAATCTAGAGATTCAGTGTGGTCTCAATCAAATTCCAAGAAATTGGGAAACTGATTCTAAAATGTATATGACAACGCAAAAGGCCAAGAACACCAAGATAAACTTGAAGGAGGACAAAATTGGAGAACTTGCACCAAAGGTTATCTGGACTTATTTTAAAGCAACAATAATTAAGACAGTGTGGTATGGTGCTAAACAGATGTTTGATTAAGACAAAAGTAGCAGTGCGAACCAATGAGAGAAAGGCAATCTTTCCAAAATCATACTAAGCCATTTGGGTATCCATATCAGTGAAAAAAAAAAAAAAAAAGGAGAAGGACCTTAATAACTACCTCACATTATCCACTAAAACTAATTCTGAGGGAACTGTAGGTTTAAATGTGATAAGTAAAAATTTATAGCAACTAGAAGAAATGAAGACATCTTCATTATTTGGGGTAGGCAAATAGTTCTTTAAAAAGACACAAACACACTAACTTTAAAACCAAAGATTGATAAGCTAGACTACACCAAAATTTAAAACTTTTTAAAATCAAACATCATTAAAGGAGTGTGTGGTTCCATTTCCATAAAGTTAAAAAAAAAAAAAAGCAAAAGGATCTATGATGTTAGAGTCTGTGTAGGGTGAACAGTGGCTCCCCAAAGATGTCTACATCTTAGTCCCCTAAACCTGTGGATGTATTACCTTATATGGTAAAAGAGTTTGCAGATGTGATTTAATTAAAGATTCTGAGATGGAGAGATTAGCTTTGATTATACAGGTGAGCTCAATCTAATTATAAATGTCCTAATAAGAGGGAGGGAGCAGGAGGACCAGGGTCAGGGAGGAGATTAATGATGCTGGCTTTGAAGATACAGGAACTGGGCTATAAATCAGGAAAGGCAGCTGTCCCCTAGAAGCTGGGAAAGAGAAGGAAACAGATTCTCCCCTAGAAGCCTCTGGAGGGAACCAGCCCTGCCAACACCTTGATTTTAGCCCTGTGAGACTGATTTTCGATTTCTGTTCTCCAGAGCTGTAAGAGAATAAATATGCATTGTTTTAAGCCATTAAGTTTGCGGTAATTTGTTAAAACAACAATGGGAGACTAATATGTGGTCAGAATACTGATTACCACAGGGAGAGGAGGTGTAGTGTCAGAAGAGGGCGCAGGTAGATTTTAGGGAGCTGATAAAGTTCTATTTCTTGGTTTTGGTGATAGTTACTTAAGCATTGTTATTTTGTGAAAATTTAGGGTTTATGTACCTTTCTGATCACTTATAATTTAATAAAAATTTATATATTGAAAAAAACCCCAAAACTTCTTATGGGGAGAGTATTTTATGTTACCCCACTACAGCCAGCACAGATCTTTGCAAAAAGTGGACATTCAGTGTCTATCTGCTGAGAGAATTGCTAAGCAGAAGCATAATTCCCAGATATTACTTAAGGAGATCACTAATAGGAGCATATATTTAATTCTACAAAAAGAGGAGTTCTGTGGTCAAGTTAGAAGGTAGTCTTGGTTTGTCTTACCTCTAAAGGTAATCCTCCCTTCTTGAGA